AACACGAAATATAAGCACACACCAGTTTCTAACATGATAGTTACAATGATACAACACCATCTACAAACACCTAATGAATACGCCCAGCACTAAACAACAGTGCTGTGCCATTCTGAATAAAGTCCTAGCAAAAAACCATCTCTGGGAACAGATACCACGAAAGATAAAACAAACGAGGACTCGAGAGCTATGACTCAGAGTTCAAGGCCAGCCTAGACCAAAGACGAGACCCACAATATACAAACAAACATACATCCATCTCTAAAACACACACACAACAACCCACACACACCACCACTACACAACATCCAAAACTACACACCCAACCTCACATACACTGAAAAAAGCAGACACCGCCTCATGTACACCAGCTACTATGGATATGGCCCTGAGGCAGCAGGATTGCATAATGAGGCCCGCAATTGAGGTCTCAATGGAGCCTAGCTACGCTATGCATCCACCAATCTCGTGGGAGCACAAGCCGCTCTAGTCCAAAAAAAAAAAACAAATAACAACAATAGCCATATATAAAAACTTATAAAAACAGAAGCAGACAGACATACAAATCTGAACTGCACAACATTCTTTCCCATTGTTAATATAAAGCTATATGCCTACTCTTCACCATCAAAAGCTCGGAGTAAAACTACCTAAAAAAACAACATAAAAAGCAATTAATATATCCTCCTCTTAATATCATATAAAGAGTAATGAGCCCATCATATCTGTCCAACATTATCTATAAGAGAACAGACAATGCACAAAAACCACACTCATACAATAGCAAATAGCGCAAGTCCAAACTAGAGTTAGACCAAAATAGCACCTCAAAGCCTTAACTCACCATAATATCAAACTTAGAGAACTCAAACAGCGCATTATCAGAAGCCAATCAGCCTTAGAAACCTGCTGACAGTGATGACATCGTGCCACCCAGTAAAACGAATCAATGGGAATGAGTACAGCAACCATCTCTGGATGTTCATCACAAATCAATACCAACCTCACAACAATCAATACACAGTATCCGATCGAACTTCAGCTTATGCACACACATCAGGGAAGAGAGCTGAAATGAAACCATCATTGCCATGACGTCATGTCCTAAATTATCGCAAAATAGTGAAGCACGAACAAATAAATTCGGCTTATACAAACATTGACAACGACTCAACACAGATTCACCCAAGGCATGGCTTTAGATATATACACACCAGAAATACACATGAAGAACTAACCATCCGACTCATCTCCCATATACTTAATTAATATATTTCACATATCTCTAGGCGCAAAAAGAATGAACGCTGCGCTCGAGCGTTTGTGATCAGTCCAACAGTCAACTATCGTCTGCGCCACCTCTCTCTCTCCTCTCTCCCTTCAAGCACTCTCCCACTCTCACCCAAAACCTATGATTGAGTGTGTTATGTTAAATGTTTGTGGAGCACCCTCATCCTCAGCAATGTAGGATCCATAAGAAAATTACTCTCTTTTCCTTCCCACGTTCTCGTAATTCAAAGTTCTTACATTCTGTACATTCTTTTTGTGGGCAGGTTTACAGCTCCCTAAAGTAGAGCCAATCTACCGTTTTATGTTTTATCATACACACACCATGCCAGGGCAGAAGGAATCTCTGTGAGGTTGTCCATGGCCCTGTCTGCTGCTCTCCCAGCCAGGAAACTATGGCAGATTGCTTCCTCATCTCATCTTTGTACCCTAAATGAGGGAATCCTTTTCTGTTTAATGATTTTTTTGTTTTGCTTTGGTTTAGTTTTTATCTGTTGTTTGTGGATCATTAGCAAATGAGTAACCCCCTTTCAATTCAATTATTTCTCTTTTTGTTACTTTAAGATTAGACACTTTTGAAACACAAAATAGGAAGAGACAACCTATTTGCCTTTTCCCTTCCCCCTTCCCTGAAAACACCCAAAGCAGCAGTCTTGCTAACAGGATTGTGGGGCCAGGGGCTAGAAAAGCAGGAGACAAAGAGAGAAAAAAGAGTTGGCAAAATCTGAGGTGTGTCAACAGCATGACCCTGCTAGCTGTTACTGAAAGCTCACACAGGTCCTTGAGTCGGCATCAAAGAATGAGAATAAGTGGTTTGAGGAGAAGGAAAGACGAAGTTTATTACCTTTGCCAGCAAGAGGAGATGAGACTGCTGTCTGAAAAAGGCCAAGGAGGCAGAGGATGTTTTAAAGAGACAGAAAATATTTTGCTGTTTTCAGGCCATTTCCCTGTTACACATTCCCCCACCTCTCCAGTATTTCCTTCCCATATTATCTGGGAGGAGCGTGACTACTCTGTTCCACTACTTGCACATGCCAAAAGCACTGGACCAGTGACTGGCAATTACTTTCAATTGAATCTTCCACAACAACCTAGAAGCAGATCCTCTATCTCCATTTTAAAGATGAGGAAACTGAGGCACAGAGAGCTTCACACTAAGTGTAATGTCACCCATGGCCAGTAAGAAGCAAAGGTAGTACCAAAAACCCAATTCCAAGTTAGACATTTTAGCTGGGCTCTTCACTCCTTAGCCATTGCTTGTTAAACTTTTGGGCCTCATGTTTTCCTGAGAGCAAATGGAAACAGGTGAAAATTGCTGGAAGAGCCATAGCCTTAGAACATTCACAGTGACGTTGGCATCAGGGCAGAGGCCAGGGTTGGGAATCAATCCTGTGGGAGAGAGCATGCCTCTGTCTGCCTGGCTTGATACGGATCTAGAAGGTGCACCCAGGAGGTTTGTGGTTAAAAAATAACTTCCAATGTAATATTTTGACCATGAAACCTATACTAACTGTTCACTCAGGGAGTTTGATGGTACTTTCCTAGACGCAAATAAACTTGGGTTGTGTGTTTTAGACAGCCATTCAACTCCAGTGTGGTAAGCCAGCATGTTATGAAACTCAGGGCTGGTCTGATTTCCCCGCACATTGCGAAATCAGGGCTAAAATCAACAGCCACAAGAGTTTACAGTTATTTTTTGATGATTCATTCCATGAGTAGAAGTATTTAAGTGAGAAGACCAAATTACTCTGCAAACCCCGACTGGGGGGGAGGAAGAGGGAGACAGGGCTGCCTGAGGGCAAGCAGGCTCAGCCAGGAGTGGTGGGGAGGAAGTACTTGGCCAGGGAAGGGTGCCTGCAGGGGGTGGAGACATTCAACTAGGGAAAGAGCAAAAATAAAGACCCACACCCACCTCTAACCTACTCCTCACATTTCCACTGAGGGCTCTTGCAGAATTATGACCTAGAACCCTTCTGTACTGATCCAACCTCAATACAAAATTTTTTCAGTTAACTTTACAAGTATTTTATTTAGAAACATTTCCATTCTTTTTCTTTTTCTTTTATTTTTTTTTTTTTTTTTGAGAAGAGTATCACTATGTTACCTGGGCTTAGAGTGCCATGGCATAAGCCTAGCCACAGCAACTCAAAACCTGGCCTCAAGCAATCCTTCTGCCTCACCTCCCCAAGGGAGCTGGAGCTACAGCCATGTGCCACCATGCCCCAGATAAATTTTTCCTATATATTTTTAGTTGCCAATTATCATTCCTATTTTTTTTTTTTTTTTTTTTTTGAGACAGAGTCTACACTTTGTTTGGCCTAGGCTAGAGTGAGTGCCGTGGCGTCAGCCTAGCTCACAGCCAACCTCAAACCTCCTGGCTCCAAGCAATCCTTCTGCCTCAGCCTCCAAGTAGCTGGGACTACAGGCATGCGCCACCATGCCCGCTAATTTTTGTATATGTATTAGTTGCCAATTAATTTCTTTCCTATGTATAGTAAAGCAGCGGGGTCTCCGCTCTTGCTCAGGTTGGTTTCGAACTCCGACCTCGAGCAAATCCACCCGCCCTCCCGGCCTCCCAGAGAGCTAGGATTTACAGGCGTGTAGCCACCGCGCCCGGCCATTCTATTTTTTAGTAGAGACAAGGTCTCGCTCCCCTGTCAGGCTGGTCTCAAACTGCCTGACCTTGAGTGATCCTCTCCGCCTTGGCCTCCCAGAGTGCCAGGATCACAGGCGTGAGCCACGACCCTGGCCACCATTTCCCAGTTCTTTGAAATAAACAAAAATACAGTCTTAATTTTAGGCCTTGAGGACTGAACCTGATTTTTTTTTTGCTAAAAACTCCTTCCTGGCCGGGCGCTGTGGCTCACGCCTGTAATCCTAGCCATGGAGGCCGAGGCGCGGATATTGCTCAAGGTCAGTAGTTTCGAAACCAGCCTGAGCAAGAACGAGACCGTCCTCTACTAATAAATAGAAAGAAATTAATTGGCCAACTGATATATATATATAAAAATTAGCCGGGAATGGTGGCACAATGCCTGTAGTCCAGCTAGCCTCGGGAGGCTGAGGCAGAAGATCGAACCCTCGAGCCCAGGAGTTTGGTGTTGCTGTGAGCGAGGCTGACACCACGGCACTCACTCTAAGCCTGGGGCAACAAAGCGAGACTCTTCTCAAAAAAAAACTCCTTCCTAAAGAGGTAGCTGGGTCAGGCTGAACCAAATGTAATTCCCCCACTA